GAGTGGAAGTGAGTTTAATACCGTAAAAAGTGTCAGTGTGTGTGTGGTACATATATACCTATATGTGCATATCAAAGTCTATCTATCTATCTATATTGAGAGAGTGAGAGAGAGAAAGGGAGAGAGAGAGAGAAGCCACACAAGAAACTGTTGACAGTGGTTGTTTCTGGAATGGAGAATTGAGATTCCAGGGATCATGGGTGGGAAGGTTTATTTTTTACTCTATAAAGTTTTGCAGTATTTGTGTTTTTGCCATGTACATATAATACTTATTTTGATAAACTGTATTTTTTAAAAGATAACTAAGTCTATAGTCCAGGTCTGGCCTGAGTTCTGCAGAACCAAGTAAGGCTATCGACTCCCTATTTCTAGATATATTTTTTGTAAATACAGACTCATGGCACATTGGGGTTTGGTTGGGTTTGGTTTGGTTTTGGTCACACGCTTCATCCATCCACCAGCTCCCACATTCGCACAGTTCCTCTCTATACCAGGCACTCTGGTGTCCCAGCTGCTTCCCACTATGACTCCTACGGCGTTGAGAGATCCACCCACACCCTGAGCCTGTCTACCAGCTCTGCCCGAAGCAGTTGGTTCTGGGCCAAGGTCAGCAGTGACCGGCTTCTTTCAAGTCTCCCTTCTTTTCCCTCCTCAGGCTGCTGCAAACCCTGATCCACATAGGGAAAGGCAACACTGGCCCGGGGTCTTGGGCACCCCCCACCACGAAGAACACAGGCGTCTTGAAAGAGAGTGGGCCAGTGGTCCTGATTGCTGGGGGAAAGTGGGTGGTGATGCCTTTGGTGTTCTGACACTAGCCTGAAAGCAAGCCTCACTCAGGTGACACCAGACACAGTTTGACGTCGTGTCCTTGTGACCATTTGTCCCTCAGGAGTCCCCTGCACTCCTGGGAGCTGGAAATTCTGCGTTCACCCAGCTCTGCCACCTGTGAGCCATGCCAGCTTGAGCAAGCCCTTTGGCCATTTTCCATGGCTGGCAGCTTTTTTAACAGCTTTATTGAGGTATAACTTACATTCCATGAGATGTACTCATTTCAAGTGTACAAGCTAATGAATTTTAATAAATTTACAAAGTTGTGCAACCATCACCGCAATCTAATTTTAGAACAAATTGCATTGTCCTAAAAAGAAATCTGCCCAAGTGCAGCCACTCCCTCCCCTGGCTCGGTTGAGTCTCAGATTTCTCACCTGTAAAAATGGGAACTGGTAGCCTATTTATTGGCAAGATTAAGTAACGTCTGTAAAGTTGTTTCATAAACGTTAGAGTACTTGACAATTAAATGGTTTCCGCTATTATTATTACCATAATTATTGGTTAGTGATTACTCTCCTCTCGTTAGTCTCCACAGGCCCTTAGGAATTCCACAAACCTCATGAAATCGTAGGCCAAGCCTAATGATGAATATCTGCTCTTTTTCTGAAAGGATCAGTTTATTTCATGAGAAAGGAATCTGAGATTCAGAACAAGAAGAAAAGGTTATGAATTCTCTGGACAGTCTTGTGGAGCGGTAACCCTTGAACTTCTCCTTTGACTTGGAAGTCGGTATTGTCTTCCCTTAAATGCCTTCTTATCTCAGGAGGTCAGTTTTGCTCCTACAGTCCGGCCTCCGCCTTTCTTCCTCCAGGTTGCTGAAACCTCCACCCCACCCATTCTCTGAAGGTTGCTGCACCTCTGAGCTCTGTCATCACTCTCTGTGACGTCAGCGGTGACTGGGAGATCTCCATGCTCAGACCCATTTCCTGTCTAGCACAAAGGACTTTTATTTTATCTTCTCTGTTCTCCTCTCCCAGGCAACAGAGGCTTGAGGCTCTCCCTGCAGAGTGGCTGCGAGGGAGGGCAGAGGAGTCTGCCTTTGAATCCTGATGCCACCACTGGCCCAGATCCCTGAGCCTCAGTCACCCCATCTGTAAAATGGGGCTGCGAACAGAGTTGTTCTGTAGATTAAATGAGATGATAGCACTCAGGCAACATCCTCCATGGTCCCTCTAATTAATTACTCTTATCTTCGGAAATGTGCAGGAAGTTTTGCTCCCAGGAACTAACGCTTAGAACCTTAAGAAGTAAAAGAGAGCCTTGAGGCTTGCAAGCCCACTTTACACAAATAGAAAATGGGCCTAGAGAGGGGAGGGGACTTATTCCAGGTGGGACAGCAAACCAGAGGCAATGCCAGAATGGGAACCAGGCACTGGGCTCCCAGCACAGGGCTCCTTCCATTGCCTCACAAGCCGCATGGTGGAGTAAGGGGTTGGGGGGGACACTTACAAATTCTCTTTATTCATTTGTTTATTTTACAACAGTTACCATCATTTTGTTTGCAGTTATCATGAGCACAAATATATACAGCCATCTGGTGTACTAGTCTTTAGTATGCCGATGGAGCCCATGAATGGAGGGCTTAGAGCCCTTCTTTATCCTATTTCTCTTTTGCTGGTGGCCACCTACTGCTCCAGCCTTGGTCTACTCCCTGTAGTGTCTTATTGTCTGCCCATGTGAGATTAGTTATATACTTGCATCAATAATAATACAAACTGCAGAGTTCTTAGAGCCCCGGTCTACATTTCTTAAATATTCAGGTGCTTTGTTTTGTTTTGATAGACTTCAATTTTTTAGAGCAGTTTTAGGTTCACAGCAGTATCGAGCAGAAAGTACAGATTTCCCATATACTTCTGCCCCCACTCACTCACAGCCTGCCCCACTACCAGCATCTCATGCCCAAGTGGTACATTTGTTACAATCGATGAATCTACGTTAATACATCATTATCACTCAAAGTCTATAGTTTACATTAAGATTCACTCTTGATGTTGTACCTTCTATGGGTTTGAACAAATGTGTGAACGTATCCACCATTATCGTAACATACAAGATAATTTCGCTGCCTTAGAAATCCTCTGTGCTTCACCTTACCCTGCACCCCTGGCAACCACTGATCTTCTTACTATCTCTGTAGTTTTGCCTTTTCCACGATGTCATCTAGTTGGAATCATACAGTATGTAGCCTTTTCAGATTGGCTTCTCTCACTTAGTAATATGCATTTAAGGTTCCCTCATGTCTTTTTATGGCTTGATAGCTCATTTCTTTTTAGCACTGGATAGTATTCCATTGTCTGGACGTACCAGAGTTTGTCTACTCACTTACGGAAGGATAAATTGTCTGCTTCCAAGTTTTGGCAATTATAAATAAAGCTGCTATAAACATTCATGCACAGGTCTCTGTGTTGACATAAGTTTTGAACTCCTTTGAGTAAATACCAAGGAATGCCATTGCTGAATCATATGGTAAGAGTATGTTTGGTTTTGTAAGAAACCACCAAACTGTCTTCCAAATTGGCTGTACCCCTGTGCATTCTCACCAGCAGCGTACGAGCATTCCTCTTGCTCCACATCCACGTCAGCACTTGATGTTGTCAGTATTTTGGATTTTCGCCATTATAATAGGTGTATAGTGATATCTCCATGTTATTTTAACTTGCATTTCTCTGATAATGTATGGCGTGAAGCATCTTTTCATATGCTTATCTGCCTTCTTTGAGGAGGCATCTATTCAGGTCTTTTGCCCGTTTTTTGTTGCATTGTTAATTTTCTTATTGTTGGGTTTTAAGAAAAATAACAGTCCTTTTTCAGATATGTCTTTGGCAAATATCTTCTCCCAGTTTATGGCTTGTCTTCTCATTTCCTTGACAAATCCGTTTTTGTCCTGTGTTTTTCATTCTGACATACCTACACACCTTTCTCTCTTCCGCCCACATTCCCATCTCCAGCTGGGTCCCCTCAGCCTGTTGGTGACAGGCTTCACGGCCGTGCACTGCATGGGTGACCTAGCGAACTGTGCCCACCATTTCCACCATGGGTGAGAGCCCGCCAGCCATGTTGCAAACAAGACTTCCTCTGCTTTAGCTCTACCGCCATCTTTGCCCCTCCTCCCGCTACCTGTCTTTATATGCGTACCAGAACAAGGCCTCTGCATCATGCCCCATCGGCCAGGAGTTTGTTCAGTGCTTCTCTCTGCAGTTTCCATCACAAAAGGAGTGTCCTTTTTTCACTTTCCACACACAATTTTTAAAATAATATTGAATGTGTTTTTTAAAACTCTTCAAGGTTTTAAAAATAACCTGTTTATATATATCTTTATAAGTTATTATATGTAACATTTATAAACATATAGAAAAGGTCTGAGCTTAACCACACCACCCTGTTAAAAGTAGTTACTTTTGAGGAAAGAAGTGGGGAGAAGACTTAGATTGGGATGAGGCAGGGGGAGGGTATGAATAGAGATGTTCCTTTTTTACTTAGGTACTTCTGTACCATTTGACTTTTTTATAATAGGCATTCATCATTGCTATTTTTTTAATTAAATGGAAAGAAATCACACTCCTTCTCATTCCCCTGAAATTCTGATGTGCTCCTTAGAGTATGAACCCTGGCACTCCTGGTAAAAACCGTTGTCCAAGGGGGAGTGTACATGATAATCTTCATTACTGGCACAAAAAACAGCAATTTGTGTGGTCCAGGGAAGCAGCAGGTGTAATAGGAAAATCGTTACTGTGGGAGCCAGGAGACCTGAGATCAGGTCTTGACTCTGCCCCAGCTCACTGTGTGACTTTGGACAAGTGCCGTGCCCCCTCTGGGCTTGAGCGTCTCCTTGCATTCAGTGAATACATGGGACTCATCAATTCACTTGACTGATAGCTCCAGAAGGATGGGGCCCTGCCTGTCTTATTCACTGATATGTATCCTGGTGGCTTGCACAGCTCCAGATGCTCAGTAGCCACTCACTAAATATCTAAAATGAATTAGTGAATGGTTTTCAGGTCTCTCCAGAGAAACGAGTGGCACAGTGGGCATCGTTGGGCCTTGGCCCTTACCATTTCTGCCAGGGCCCCTACTGTACATCTTTCCATTCAGCCTTGTGCCTGTCTTGCTCTCTCCCCAGAATATACTCTGAACTCTACAAGGCCCTGTTTCCCGTGCTCTCTCCACAGGGTCAACAAGCCCTTTCTGGGCCATGGGGATGCAGTGATGCAGCACCGGAGGCCAGCACCTGCACTTGGCTCTGGGACCACACCCACTGGAGGAGGTACCTTGTCCTCTCCTTGCCTGGAATGGGGTGGGAAGGTGGGTCCCAGTGAGGTCCCGGGAAATACAACCCTAATTAATATCACTACTTTCGTATGTGCTAAAACTCTTGTTCTTTAAGTTGTTCCCCAGTCCGTGTGCATCAGCGTCACCTGGGAACTTGTTAGAAATTCAGATTCTTCAGCCCCACCCCCACCTACTGAATCCGAAACTCTAGGGAGGGAGTCTGTTTTAACAAGACATCCAGATGATTCCGTTGTATATGAAAGTTTGAGAACCACAGCCCTAAAGAAACGACTGCATGGTCAACTAGAGAGGCAGCTTCTTGAAGCAAATTAATGTACAGTATTTTCAAAAGTTTGCTTTATGCCACTTTGCTTTTACAAAAGACCTGCCTTTGTACCTGTCTTCAATACCCAAAAGAAATCCAAAGAGAATTTTTGGTTTTATGAAAAAAGGCAAAACGTGAAAACAGCATTCAGCGTTTGCTTTGCAGCCAGCTGTTCATTATGGAGGCAGCGCACCCCGCGCAGCAGGCGGGGCGCCACCAAAGGGTTCCCCCCGGAACTACACTCAGCATCTCAGCGTTAAGCCGCCATAGCTCTGAACCGTGTCTGCGGGCATCTGTGCTTTTTATCTCGATTTATTTTGTGCATCCGTGAGCAAGATGTGTCCTAAGGTAACGGTTTTTTCATTTTACACCATTTCAGTTTACAAAAGGTTTCATAGGAACACTACTTTCAGATAGCCGGCGGTCGGAAACCTGTACAAGAAATTGACATTTTCAGGAAGTTTGGAAGATGGCAGAGTAGGAAGAGCTGAAGTCACCTCCTCCCACGGGCACAACAATCTGTAACTACCTGCAGAACAATTTCCTCTGAAAAAGATCTGGAAACTGGATAAAAAGCACCCCCACAGCAAGGGACAACACTGATGGGGTGGAAGAGGCAGAAATACAGCCCTGCTGAGGGCAAAAACCACACCCAAGGTGCAATGCTTCACCGGCAGCGAGCCATCTCAAAGGTAGGGAGCTTTTCCCAGGGGAGCATGGGATCTGAGCAGGGGAGCTATGCCACAGTAGGCATCTGAGCTCTTAGATGCAGCACAGCCAAGATCCCATGATACCTGGCTTTGCTGGCTTTAAAAACCAACATGGAATATGCCCAGAAAAACTATAGAACTTCAGAGAAAGGAAAACCTCTTAAATGGCCCCCACGCAGATTCACCCGATCCAAAAACCAACATAAAAACCCTGGATAGAAAAGTGCATAGTCCATTGGTAAAAGAGACTCGCTTGCCAAGCGTGGAGCAGATCTCAGAGAGGCAGCAGGCAGGGACTGAGAAATTGGGGCAGCCGTTATTGTGACCTAGTACACAGATGCTGACACAGATGCTGGCAGCCACCATTGGATTCCTTCTGATAGCCTGTTAGTGCATGGGTTTGCCCCTCCTAGTAGAGCACCTAAGGCAATTGAGTGCAGCCAGGTCAAGCAACCTGCCCCAGGGACTGGCCTCACCAACCGGGAGGCCCGCAGCAAACTTGTGGGGCTGTGTAGGTGGGGTGTGTGGGACCTTGGTGGTAGGGCAGGAGGATCCAAGTTGGGGCATGCTTGTGGGTCCACAGTGGAGGGACATGTGGGCCTGTGGGCAGCGGGCCATGTGGGTCCACAGGAGACTTGTGCCACTGGCCATTGCAAACAGCCACACAGGGGATCTGCTCCATCTTCCAATGCCTGAAACAATTGTACGCTGCTGTGCCTGGGGTCAGCTCCACCCATCTGCACTCCTGAAGCAGCTGTGTACCACAAGACAGCATAGCCAGATCTGACCAGAGGCCTGCCCTGCCCGAAAGAGAGCCGATAACAGCCACACACCACAGGAAGCCACACTGGGGGCCTGCAGCAATTGTGAGCCCCTGAACCTAGCAAACAGTCACATTGGGAGCCTGATACGCTTAACAGAATAACAGCAGTAGTTATGTGCGATTAGACCTTGCAGCCAGCCATGCCAGGGCTTGCCCCACCCAATAAATTAACCATAGCAGCTGCAATCAGCTGAGCCTTACAACCAACCAGCCTGGGGCCCAACCTAGCCTACCATGTGCTCACAGCAATGGCAACCCCGCTACAACAGAAAAGCACACTCAGCTCACACAGGGCTCACTCCTGCAGCATTTGGCAGGAATGACAAGAGAGGAACACATTGCTGGGCCCCGTAAGACATCTCTTACATGAGGCTACATTTCTAAGATTGGGAGACATAGCTGATCTGCCTAATACATAGATATTAGCACAGAGAAGTAGGCAAGATGAAGAGACAAAGCAATATGTTCCAAATAAGGGAACAGAAAAAGAACTAAACAAAACAGAGATAAACAATCTACTTGATAAAGAATATAAACTAATACTCATAAGGATGCTCACTGACCTTGGGAGGAGAATAGATGAACAAAGTGAGAACTTCAACAAAGAATTGGAAAATATAAAAAGAACCAGACAGAACAGAAGAATACAATAATGGAAATGAAAAATTCACTAGAAGGAATCAACAACGGAGTAGATAATACAAAAGAACAGATCAGCAAGGAGGATGAAAGGTTAGAGAAAATCACCCAAGCTGAACAGAAAAAAGAATTAAAAAGATTTAACACAATCTAAGAGACCTCTGGGACAACATCAAGTGTACTAATATCCATATTATAGATGTCCCAGAAGAAGAAGAGGGAGACAAAGGGACAGAGAATCTATTTGAAGAAATAATAGCTGAAAACTTCCCTAACCTAGGGAAGAAAACAGACATCCAAGTACAGGAAGCACAGAGAGCACCAAACAAGATGAACCCAAAGAGGTCAACACCAAGATTTGTTATAATTAAAATGTCAAGAATTAACGATAAAGAGAGAATCCTAAAAGCTGCAGGAGAAAAGCAATAAATTACATACAAAGGAAACCCCATAAGGCTATTAGCTGACTTCTCAGCAGAAACCTTACAGGCTAGAAGGGAGTGGCATGATATATTTAAAGTGCTGAAAAGAAAAAAACCTACAGCCAAGAATACTGTACCTGACAAGGTTATCATTCAGAATGGAAGGAGAGATAAAGAGTTTTTCAGATAAGCAAAAACTAAAGGAGTTCATCACCACTAAGCCAGCCTTATAAGAATTGTTAAAGGGACTTATTTAAGTGGAAAAGAAAAGGACACCCATAGGAATAAGAAAATTATCAAAGAAAAAAAATCACTGATAAAGGCAAATATAAAAGTAGTAGATCAACCACCTATCAAATATGAAGGTCAAAAGACAAAAGTGCTGAAATTATCTATTTCCATCATGAGAGGTTAAAAGATACACAAAAATAAAAAAGATAAAATATGATATCAAAAACAAAACGTGGGGATGGGGTAGTAAATGTGTAGGGCTTTTAGTAAGAGGTCAGACTTAAAGAGATAATCAACTTAATTAGATTGCTATTTATGTAGGCTATTATAGATGAACCTCAAGGTCATCACAAACTGAGAGCATGTAATAAATACATAAAATAATAAATAAAGGGAAAGAAACCCAAATGTAACACTAAAGAAAGCCATCAAGTCCCAAGGGAACAAAGCAAGTGAAGAAAGGAACAAAGAACTACAAAAACATCCAGAAAAAAGTAACAAAATGTATAAGCACGTAAGTACATACTTATCAATAGCTACTTCAAATGTCAATGGACTAAATGCTTTAATCAAAATACATAGTGTTACTGAATGGATAAAAAAACAAGACCCCCTAATATGCTGCGTACAAGAGACACACTTCAGACCTAAAGACACTCACAAACAGAAAATGAAGGGATGGAAAAAGATACTTCTTGCAAATGGAAATGAAAAGAAAGCTGGAGTAGCAATACTTACATCAGACAAAATAGACTTTAAAATAAAAACTGTAACAAAAGACAAAGAAAGGCATTATGTAATGATAAAGGGAACAATCTGACAAGAGGACATAACACTTGTAAATATCTATGCACCTAACTTAGGAGCACCTAAATACATAAAGTAATTATTAACAGACATGAAAGGAGAAATTGACAGTAACACAATAATAGTAGGGGACTTTAACACTCCCCTTACATCAATGGATAGGTCACCCAAAGAGTAGATCAATAAGGAAACATTGGCCTTAAGTGACACAGTAGACCAGATAGACTTAGTAGATGTATACAGAACATTCTATCCAAAAACTGCAGAATACACACTCTTTTCAAATGTATATGGAACATTCTCCAGGATCTATCACATATTAGCCCACAACAAGTCTCAATAAATTTAAGAAGATTGAAATAACACCAAGCATCTTTTCTGACCACAATGGCATGAAACTAGAAATCAACAAGAAGAAAAATGGAAAAGCCACAGATATGTGGAGAATAAACAAAATGCTACTGAACAACTATTGAGTCAACAAAGAAATGAAAGGAGAAATCAGAAAATACCTGGAGACAAATTAGAATACAGTATACCAAAATTTGTGGGCTACAGCAAAAGTGGCACTAAGAGAGGAATTTGTAGCAATATAGGCCTACGTTAAGAAAGAATAAAAATCTCAAATAAACTGTCTAACAATACACCAAAAGGAACTAGAAAAATAAAGAAGAAATGAAGCCAAAAATCAGAAGAAGGAAAGAAGCAATAAAAATCAGAGTGTAAATAAATGAAATAGAGACTTAAAAAGCAATAGGAAAAAATCAATGAAACTAAGAGCTGGTTCTTTGAAAGGACAAACAAAGGTGACAAACCTTTAACTAGACTCACCAGGAAAAACAGAGAAAAGGCTTAAATAAATAAAATCAGAAATGGAAGAGGAGAAATTATAACAGACACCACAGAAATACAAAGGATTATATGAGAATACTAAGAAAAGCTATACACCAACAAATTGGATAATCTAGAAGAAATGGATAAATTCTTAGAATCATCCAATCTTCCAAAACTGAATCAAGAAGAAATCTCTATTTCTTC